TTTTTTTTTTTTTTTTTTTTTTTTTTTTTTTTTTTTTTTTTTTTTTTTTTTGTCTCGGTCGAAATATTTTTCAAGAAGTACTTTGATCGTGTTTTTGCTCGGGTTACTGAAATGAGCGTTGTTTACTTAAAAAAAACCCTCATTTTCTCGAGAATTTTGAAACTATTTACAATCTCTTTGCTTCGTTGTCAATACTATAATCTCTCGTTTATGGCTTCGTCATTTTATATATTGACTAAATTATATGTAAATTAATGATATCTTCAAATAAAAGCTATTATCTCTCCGTCACTTATTTTTATCTTTTTGCTTTAGAATTTATGTTGATTTTTCTTCGGTTACTGATTAAGGTGAAGTTCCGTAAAAATCCCGTCATATTTAAAATATCACGAACCGTTCCAGTCGGTTGAGCTCCCACGGTACTAAGATCTTTATCTTCTCTTTAAGCTTAAACGTCAATTGTAATGATTCGATAAAACAGCTCGGTAGAATAGAAATAATAGATACGATAGCTAACGAAAAACGTTACTACAGATATGTAGTTTATTTCATAGGTCGTGATAATCGACGATACTGAACGTCTGAAACTTTTCATAGCGTTTTATTTAAAAGATCGAACGGGTTTCGAATCCTAAGCATCCGACCACGTAACAGCCACTTTGCCCACATCTTTATCCAGCTCCAAGGCGCTCCACACCGCATCAGACCCATCCACTATATTATTCTCACACGGTGGCAGACCAGCATGCTCCGCATCGCACCCATTCACTGAGTCGCATTGATCCACCACCTTAGCTAGCACCGATCTTCCATTTGACGCCGTGATCTTTATCATCTTCCCACATCTCGAGCCCCCGTTATACCAACCGGTCGACAATGCCACGATTAGTTCCGAGTTGTCGTGGAAGATCTCGTCGCACTGCGACGGAGCTCCGCCGTCCCCACCTTCACTGAAATCATTGTTGGTCAGCGTAGCTTCGGTTGAGGAAGTCACTGGTGGCGAGCATTCGTATTGCGGGAAGGATTCTCCGTTGCACTCCAAGGTTCCCGTCGGCTGGCAATCACTCGTCGGAGATGGCGAGGATCCGCCGGTAGAGCATTGGGCAGTGCCGATGTCGGGATCGTCGTTGCAAACGCCGTTGATGCAAATCAACAGACCATCACAATCGTCGAGAGTTTGACATGGACCGTTACAGGAAGAGGTTGATAGAGAGAGGTGAGGAAGAAGAATAAGAGATATGAAAAACGCTAAGGTTGCCATTGAGGTTGATGTGAGTAGAAAAGAGGGGCTTCTTGCTCTTATATAGTTGAAATAAATATCTTTTTAGTCCCTCATTTTATAAGATTTTGCTATTTAGTCCTTTTGGGGAGACTTTGGTTTTGACTTTGAATTCTGCACCCGTCATTCTAAGTTATTGTCATTTTCATCCTCTGTTTAGCTAACTGGAAAAAAATCTCTTCATGGTCCGTCTCACATTCTCTATTTGAACGAGAATTTCTTGTCTTATTTCAGGTGAGTCCCTTCTTTAATATAAATTAAACATACTGTCTTAGTTGTTCCCATTCCCGACTCTGTTTATGTAACAGCCTAAGCCCGCAACTAACAAATATTGTCCGTTTTGGCCCGTTACATATTGTCGTTAGCCTGCAATTTTAAAACATGTCTATTATGGAGAGCGTCTAGTCCTACTCCAACTAGTGTCTCACACCGTCCAGTGATTGGCTCAAATACCATTTGTATCGGTCCAACGTCCTCACTGGTGCATCGCCCAGTGTCTAACTCTGTTACCATTTGTAACAACCTAAGTCCATCGCTAGCAAATATTGTCCGCTTTGGCACGTTACGTATTATCGTCAACCTCACAGTTTTAAAACGCTCCCGTTGCTGTTCCCGGGTGGATCACCCATCCCTATCCCTTCCTTCCCCTTCGCCCTGATGAGACCCGATGAGATCAGATCCCTCGAACGAAGTTCAGTGATAGGAAGAGAAGACAGCTGGTGGGAGATCTATATTCATTCATTACCACCCCCTTCTTGTATAGGTTGGGGAAAACAGAAGTGGTGCGCAGGCGTTAGACAGTGAATAAGCTCCCACCTTACTCCTTACTAAGGTTGTGAATTTGTGAACTCTGATGCTCTTCCTGTTCCGTCTCATTCATCCACTGTAAAGTCTCATTCTCAGTCTCCCTTCTTCTGTAAAGGTTCAGTCAGTCTCATTCAAATAGCTTTACCGAGTTCCATCAGTCTCATTCTTGCTTTCAGGTTCAGGAGAATGCTTCTTGAGTTACCGACCGCAGCTAATTCATTGAGGATTGACTTGACTTCCCTTCAAGGTCACAGGTCATAGAGGGGTCGGAAGTAGCTCAAGGCATAAAGGGGCGAAGAAGCTCGACGAGAAAAGAAAAGGGAGGAGAGGGTCGAAGACCTGAGACCCGTAGGGCGAAGAGGCGAAGAAGCGAGACTGGAAAGGAGAGGGGCGGGGTCAGGCTCAGTCCGGATCATAATTGCTGTTCATTCATATAAATAGGATCAGATCAGTCTTTGAATAGTTCAACCCTAGCTCAATCAGGTTCCGCATCACAATTCCATTCCCTTCTTTCCTTCTTCATTACCTCTTCAATGGACCTAAATTCCACACCCTTATAAGGAATGCTTCGTTCCCTTCTTAAACCGATGTGGGATCTACAACCGTGAGGTCGAGCAATACATAACAGGCCAAAGCGGATAGTATCTGTTAGTGATAGGCTTCGACTGTTACAAATGGTCAAAGCTAGTCACCGAGTGGTGTGCCAATGAGGACACTGGGCCTCCAAGAAGAGTGGACTGTGAGATCCCACATCGGTTGGAGAGGTAACGAAACATTCTTTATAAGGGTGTGAAAACCTCTCCCTAGTAGACTTGCGACAATACATAACGGACCAAAGCAGACAATATTTGCTAGCGGTGGGCTTAGACTATTACAGATTAACAAACGAGAAAGAATCTTTTCCCGTTCCATCTCCTATTTTCGTTTGAACGTGAATTTCTTATCTTATTTAGAGCGGGTCCCTTCTTCTTCAGTATAACTTAAAACATACCGTTTTAATTCCTCCTCTAATAAAATAGCATTTAGTCCTTTTTACGGAGAATTAGTCTCCAAAATAAATTCTACCCTTATCATTATAAGATAATATCGGGAAAACATGTTAAAAATATCTATATTGTTTGTGATGATAGTTTTCACTCTTAGAAACCGTTCGAGATAAGTACGTAACACAGTAAGTAACGTGAACATTTCACAGGAGAATGTCGAGGCAATCAGGTGTCGAGTCCGATTTCCAAACTCTAATCGATATCCAAAGTATTAAACGTTACATATAAGCAAATATAATATATGGCGGGAACTTGAGTTGACTTTCTAAGACAACTTGCTCGAAAAAATTTGACTTGACTTCAATAAATCGACTTAACTTGTACGTTTAAATTTTAATAATATGCTTCAAAATTACTCTATATATTTATTTAACATCCACTAATGAACGTTACTCGTACCAAGTTGACATTTAATAAATATATATAGTTGACTTGGCCGTTATAATGGTCAACGAATATAAAAAAAAGTAAATATTTTCCTTTAACTTTATCCCTAAATTTCCGGATATATTTATTTAATATCCACTAATGAAAAAAATATATATTTAATTAAAAATGGTAAATGTAATAGATTTAAATAATTCATTAAAAAAGATTTTGAAATTAAAAAGGATAAAATCATTCAATCCTCCATGAAGGAGACCAAGTCAAGTCAAAGTCAACCATTTTTGTTGACCTACTGTTCGAGTATGTTTGAACCAGTTGAATCGAGTTGAGATTAGTATTAAGTTTTACCCCATTTTTTAGTTCTACGACAATGGGTAGAGATTTAAACCTCTGACCTACTGTTCGAGTATGTTTAAACCGGTTGAATCGGTTTGAGACTAGTATTAAGTTTTACCCTTTTTTTAGTTCTACGACAATGTAGAGGTAGAGATTTAAACCTCTGACCTACTGTTCGAGTATGTTTAAACCAGTTGAATCGGGTTGAGATTTTTACCCCCTTTTTTTTAGTTCTACAACACTATAGCGGTAGAGATTTAAACCTCTGACCTACTGTTCGAGTATGTTTATACTAGTTGAATCGGGTTGAGATTAGTATTAAATTTTACCCCATTTTTTAGTTCTACGACAATGTAGAGGTAGAAATTTGAACCTCTAACCTACTGTTCGAGTATGTTCAAACCAATTGAATTGGGTTGAGATTAGTATTAAGTTTTACCCTTTTTTTAGTTCTACGACAATGTAGCGGTGGAAATTTGAACCTCTGACCTACTGTTCGAGTATGTTTAAACCAGTTGAATCGAGTTGAGATTAGTATTACGTTTTACCCTTTTTCTTAGTTCTACGACAATGTAGAGGTAGAGATTTAAACCTCTGACCTACTGTTCGAGTATGTTTAAACCAGTTGAATCGGGTTGAGATTTTTACCCCTTTTTTTTTAGTTCTACGACACTATAGCGGTAGAGATTTAAACCTCTGACTCACTGTTCGAGTATGTTTATACCAGTTGAATCGGGTTGAGATTAGTATCAAGTTTTACCCCTTTTTTAGTTCTACAACTATGTAAAGATAAAAATTTGAAACTCTGGCCTATTGTTTGAGTATATTTGTTAAACCAATTGATTACCATTCTATTTGAACTGTATAAAACTCGAAAAAGTGAGATGCAAGTGCATATGAGGAGCAATCCCTGAACGAGTCTGGCTCAGTTGAGCAAATTGCAGGTGCATAGGTGGACGTTCATTCCCTCGAGGTTGAACAGTTTTGGATCCCTCTCGAACCCTACATCTAGTTTATTTCGGTTACCTCGGTAAAAACTTAGGGTTAAAAACTTCTAGTATTCTCCTTTTTTACAGCACTTACAAGATTTCCATTGGTGTTGTGTAACCTTTAGACATATCCATTGGAGATAAGACTTATTTGGGCCATCCAAACCCTAATTTTCCTTGGTGGATTTGGTCATTATTTTGGGCCCAATTTTATGTGTAGTGCACTGCTACGGTGTAGTTGCTCAAACTCACCGCTATCAGATATTATCCGCTTTGGCCCGTTACGTATCGTTATCAGCCTCATGATTTTAAAACGGGTCATAAGGAAGATGTTTCCACATCCTTATAAGAAACGCTTCGTTCCCTTCACCAACTGATGTGAGATCTCAAATAGGGTTTACTCGCCCTATTTGTTCCATGATCTACAGATCTATTGGAGATACCTACTTCGATCAATTAGTCAAGATTTTTGACCCAATACGCAATCACTAATACTTGATCTAGTTCCTTTTCGAGTAGTAGTAAGTCGGAGACCGCTCATAAGTAGTAGGGTGTAGGGTAGGTGGTACTGCTCAAAATGTTGCCAATCTTCCTAACCAAGCTCAGGTCGAGTTTAAAACGCGTGAAACTCATCACTACCCTTATAACCATATTAAGATCACAACATGTTACACAAAAGTGTCGTTATGTTCTGTCTTTTAAAAATTTTGAATTTTTTGAAAAAATAAATTCTCAATTAAATGTAAAATTCTAATTTTCTATTTTTTTTATTTTTATTTTTTATTATTGTGTGTTAGATAAAATCCATAAAATTTTAATATTTATAATTAAAAAAATAAAAAGTAAATAAATAATAAAATGATTCACCACCACAGAAAAATCCATATGCGTTGCCAAAAGCCATTAAATCTGAATGTCGGTGGAAAGATCCTACCGACGAAGCATAAATCCAAGCCCTAATCTCCACCGTACACGTGGCATCAAATCTCCAGGCCCAGCCTGGCACACTCCCCACGTACTAAATTTTGGTCCGAGCATTATCCTTGGACCATAATGCCCTTTCCACTTTCGATAAAATTACTAAAAATGCCATTCCAGAGTGTTTCCCTTTTTTGGTCCGTGTTTTCTTGCCATTCGGCGGGTCAAACTCAACTGACAATCTGTCATATTGTATTATTATTTAATAATACGTTATTTACCCTTTTATTAATCCATAGTTAAATTATGATTTAAATTATGAAAATCTACTGAGTTACCACGGTTAAAAATTGAGTCATCAATATAGTAATTGTTACATTTATTTATCATTTTTTTTTTTACCAAAATGCTAAATAAATTAGGAATTTCACACCCGACGTTCACAAATCGAGTAACTCAAATAAAGTTCACAACCTAACTCATTATCTTTGGGTTGGTTGGATTA